CAAATTCCAGATACCCTATAGCTATATAAGACATTTTTTTTTTTTTTTTTTTTTTTTTTTTTTTTTTTTTTTTTTTTTTTTGATTTGGACTATAGCGCATATCATATAATATATAAAAGAACGGAACTAGTAGGAAACCTGAATATTTTATTTGTGTTCATTGTAAGTATTTTTTACGGTTCTTAAAAGTTAATAGTATATAAACTGATTTAATATTGATTGAGAGGAACTGAATTGTAGCTTATGTAATTCTTATGAGGTGTTTAGATAATATATTGCATAATGTTCAAATAAACTATTTAAAGTCTATAAAATGTAGTCGTATAACAGACAGCCTGTAAATGTTCTTTCTAATGAATCATGTTAAACTACAGCTAGAGTATATCTGTTGAGAGTAGACGACTTGAGTATACCCCATATAATGCTTGCTGTGATCGAGCCTTATTCTCGGCTAGTTTGTCTGCAGCTCTAGCTAACAGATTAACTCCAGAACCTTATTTGGCATGTAGAATCAGCCGATCAGCTAAGCTTGTTATTTATGTGTTCATACCTGTTGGCCACCCGCTGCATTGAAGGGCAATTTCAATGCTAAAATAGTTGATATATTTAGTTCTTAGCTCAAATTTGGTTTGTTGACATCATTGTTTCTGGCCAAACACTGGGCCCCCGTGCTGGCAGCCCGCAGTTTCCGTTAGTCAGTTGTCTGGCATGCATGCCTATATACATACGTTCCCCCTGTATCTCTCTATTCATCTGTCGGCGCGTGGGCGCCTTTACGCTAATTTTCATCATTTGTGTTCAGTTGAGTTTTCTTTTGATATTGACTTTATGTTTATAGATAGATATGTGTACATAAGTATATCTATATGTATATATAAATATATATGTATATACGACAATTCTCAGTGGGGTTTTGTATATGATGATTTTGTTTTTGGCTATTGCATCGTCGTCTGTCGACTGCCGCATAGAACTGTGGGTTAATCGTTCAACTGACAGCGACGTCGCCAGATGCGGCCAAACAAAATTCAGATTATGAATCGCTTGCCCCGAGTATTAGCCGTGCGACCATTGCCGATGCTCAAGGTGCGCAGCACAAACAAAGTGCTCTCGGTGTAGTTTTTGTTCTGTTCGGTTTTAGTGCGTGAAACATTATTCGGCACAGCTAATTATATGTGAGCAAATCGTCGTCACGCGTGTCATGTTTTATTAGTAGCCACAACTCATAGCAAAAACAATGTACTGCACTACACGTCTGCTGCGTTACATACTCTGTGTCATCAATTTGATTTATGCTGTAAGTTAAACAATCAACCCTGTTCCAAATACCGAAAACGCCAACGAAATACGACAAACGCAACATTTTTAACATCTGACGTTTGCCAATTCTCTTGAAAATTGTTTTACACTCAGTCTACGATTAGTGTTTACAATAAAAAACATGCTCAAAACAAAGAATGAAACATTGTTGCTACAAGGGAAATAAAATAAATTGATAACATTTGAATGGAATTAAATGGATTGCAATGCGTTATGGATTTTCACTTATTGTGAACTGAATATTAATTTATTTACTTTATAAATAACTATGCTGTGTAGTTAACAGTACATAAATCATATAACATAAACAATGTGGAACCGAATTCTTGTATTTTTTAAACTCTATTTCGTGGGGGATCACTATCTACGAAGATATTGATTATGTACAAAGAAGTGAACAATAAATCATATAAATTTATATAATATTTATACCAAATAGAAGAGTTTAAATTACAATGATTTAAAAAATATATACTTATTTAGCTTAAATATATATTATAGAGTAAAAGATTATGGTTTTCAATTAGTTTTAATAAATAAGATCAGTAAAACAAAAATATTATCCGCAACTTTAAATAGTAACCAAATTCATAATATGTTAATCTCAATATTAGTATCATAATAAATTCCTCTGAGCTGAGCATCCAAAAATAAAATCCCTATCATTTAGCAATCTGTTGACATTGACTAGAAAAATTCCACAATTTAATCCAAATAAAATTTCCTCTTGAATAGCTGAACGGCTGCTTGTTGATCTGGTATGGGGCCTGGTTGCTGGACAGCATTGCAGAGCAGCTAAATTTCGTTGATCACGGCGAGAATTTGGCTTCCATATTGTGCATACTCTTAGGCATAGTCGTTATAATAGCCAGCGTATTTGGCACTGTCGCCCTGATCAAGGAGTGCAAGAGGATGCTAATTAGTGTAAGTGATAAATAAGTTTTTGTGATATAGTTATGTGATTATAGTCTTGCTTATCCTTTATATATAGTATGCAGTGCTATTGATTGTGCTGCTGATCATACAGTTTATCATGTTTAGTATTGCGGCCAGCCGGGACACCTTGCCGAGCAGCTTGAAGCAGGGCTTCGATGATCTGTGGGATCCACAGCAGAGACTCAACAGCACGCTGAACATTTACGAGGAATGGGTGAGCACTGTTTGTTTACAGATTAGCTGCGGATATCCATATATGCTAAGTCTGATATTTATTCATTAGCTGCAGTGCTGTGGTCGCAACAGTCCCGAGGATTATATTCTATTGGATCGTAATCTGCCAGCTAGCTGTTGCCTGGAGCGCGACTGCACAAATCCAATGAATCTATTCATGGACGGCTGTGAGCAGAAGTTCAAGCTGTATGTTAACGGACGAACAGCTACTTTTCATACGATCAGCTGGTTTCTAATACCAACTGAGGTGCGTACTTTGCTTTTGATAATACAAAGATATACAAAAAAACTTTTATTTTCAATATAATATGTAATAGCATAGCATTATGCAATACGTACATACACAAATAGCTTAATTCCCCCATTTTTTTACCCTTACAAATGCTAATTAATATTTTTATATATCCATCTTTTTCCACCTGCAGTTTATGGGCTCTGTGGCCACCTGTTATTTGGTGGATAGCATACGAAATCATCGAGATCGCGTGCGTTTCTATAATTAAGTTGTTCGGTTGATTATTATTGTCCCACTGTAGATGTATTATAATTATGCTTAGCCATTGTGTCATTGTGATTTGTAATTTAGTACAGTTAGAAACACGAAGAGAGATGTTTTACTATATTCATTGATAAAAATATCAATGACATCGAAATGCGTTGTAAAATTCGGAAACTCCCACGTCATAAAAATAAATATAAATAAAATATACCTATATGATGTATATATATATATACAAAACCATAATAAAACCTGTTGTTACTGACTAATTTCTTGTTGACTGGAAGATAAATAATATAAACACACAGCTATGAATTTAAAAATGAGTAGGATTCAACGGGCAAGCCAACAGATAAAATGGAAGAGCAAAATAACACACATACAGATACGACTACAATACAGATACAGATACTTTTGTACACACAATCGCGGAGAAGCGCCTTCGCCTTTCCCAATATGAGCAGCCATGTGGGCGACTCTCGATTTTCTCGTTATACATAGATCAATGGCTGAGTGAAAAGCTGTTCTATTCGCCATATACTCGCACTTTTAAAAACAACAAAAAATAAAAACAAAATGTAAAATGTTTCAGTTGTTGTACGGCACTGAAAGGCTACGGTCAGAGATTTTTTTTGCAGCCGTCGCATAAATATATATATTCATTTATCTATATAT